CCCCCCCCCCCCCAAAATTAATGCATTCATTTTGAATTAAGTAACAATAGAAGCAAAAAGTCACATATTTGGTTACACTATGCTCTAACCTAATATACGTAACAAAACTTCGAAGATCAAAGCGACAAATTTATCATAAATTTTCTTTAAGAAAAATTATGATTTCGAGGTTGGAAAAAGCCTTTTTTGAAGATACGTTGTTCTTATTGCATCATAGTTATTTGGATAATATTTTTAAGTTATCAATCGTTTTTCAGGGTCAACCTTTAAGGAATTTAAATTAACTCCTTCAATTTGTCGATGTTGCTCCGACCATTGACCCTTTCTTCCAAGTTAGATGAATTTTGAGATTTTGAAAGTTTAGAAGATGCTTTAGGATAATTTAATAAAACTTAAGTTAAATTACAAATTAAAATATCTTTTTGAGACCTCAGAATAATTTTATAGAGAATACTCATAAAGTAAAACAATTTTAAGAAATTCTAAAAAAAAAAACTAAAAGAATGAAATAGTAAAAAAGTAACAAAATAACTTACTTGACCCCAAAAAAAACAAAAAAAACCGCAGCAAGAAACACTCTCCATCTCAAGAGATACATTCTTTTTCCTCAAATACTAGCCTTTTTTTCAGCCCAAATCCTCAAAACAAAAATGAAGAATCAAAACCCCGCAAAACCATGTTCGATCCCGCGACCTTGCCTACAAAAATCCGACGCTAGACCAACTGCCCCGAAGTGCTTGATAACAAGTGGCGTCACACTTGTTTAATTTTGTACGTTATATGGTATTTTACAGATTATTTATATATATATTTAACAAAAATTTCCGACGAAGCGGTGTCACGTGACACCGCTTCACCCTTACTGCATCCGCCCCTGAGTCCCTGACCCGAGGTTGGGCTGTATGAGACGTAATTCAATTTTAAGAAGGTAAACCTCATTATATAGAAGGAATTTAATTGGCATTTTTTAGAGAAAATTTATAGTCGTCATAGTGTAGTTTCCAAACGTTCAAGTAATATACATGTAGCGGTAAAAAATAGACTCACCACGTGGATTGATCGTATCCCGATACTTGTCAAAAATATTTAAAAAAATCGTAAAAATTAAAGAACGAGCCCGAAATCAGTCAAGTTGAGAGTTATTTGATAGACAATATCGACATGCTATATAACCAATTGAAGAAAGAAACCAGTAGCAAACTATTCAAGTACAATGGTGTCCAATTTAAGTTCGAAAATAAGTGAATGGGACGGTATAGCGTCAAATGGATGATTATCTTTTAGTAGTGATATATGGGGTCTCAAACAAGATTTCCATTTTCAGTATAAAAAAATAATATTTTGTTATTAATTATTTACTTATTTGAGAAGGAACCTTTTTCTCCTTTAAGGTTGTTTAAAGTACTAATGGAAAATATGTGCCAGTTAATTTTATGTTATCGCTTTAATAAAATTAGCTTCTAAAGTGGTTATACCAACCTGAACAACTGCGTCCATGCATGGCTCATTTATAATGCAAAGAATAAGATACCTATCATCTTTTTTGATAAATAAAAATTGGGCACCTAAATATATTATAGGAGCATAACTAAAGTGGAGAAGTCCAATGATTCATTATCTTTTACCGGTCTACAATAAAAAATTTATCAAGATATATTAACTTTAAGGAAATAAATTTAAAAACAAGGAGTATTTCTTTTCTTCTAATATAGTTTAACTTCTTTTTGTGTTTCTTCTGGTAAAAGAAATTTATATTGATAGGTGTGAGTTCACGAGTCTCTTGATTGATTCACTATATATACAAAGGGATAAATTTGCCATATGTATCATACAACTATTGCTTTAGTTGTGTAAAGGTACTCATAATTAAACTAAGAAACTTTAGTACTTTTTAACAAGTAAAACTCACTCCATCTCAATCTTCATCAAGATTGTCTAATGGTGTCCCGCTCATAATCAAAAGTTTCGGATTCGAACCTTGAGAATAGAAAAATTTATGGTAGGGACTCCTTGAATGAACCTTACGTGGCATAAATTTGAATAAAGTGTGACACTAGCTCCGAATACACGGCACAAATTTGAATGAAATGTGTAGTAATTCCGAATATCACATGATTTAAAAGAAATATTCACTAAGATACTTTAGTTTAGAGTGTCGTCTTACCTTATTCAGTAATGTGTGACACATTGTAACAAAATTCATACAAACCTAAATCAAAGCATCAAACCACTGGATGGAAAATATTTCGCAAGTAGGGCCAATGCATTTGAACTTCTACAAAACTTGACAAGAGCCTGTGACAAGTTTTATCACTATATATATTTATTTCTTAGATGAGATTATTCTAATTGTATGTGAAATTGTCTGGAGTTAAAATGGGGCCAAATGTTTTAGAATCTGCGTTGCTATCTGCAGCCGCCTTGGGTTGTTTTGAGGGCTTATTTCTATTGGCTTTTGTGTGGTTGTGTTGGACCCAATCCCTCATGTTAATCCAGAAAGGTTATATTATGTGGCATTCTTTGACTAGCTAGCTGGCAATTTCGTATACAACACTTAATATATAGTTTTGGCATCTTCTTTTAATATTTTGGTGGTGGAAAGATCAAGAATTCCAGAAAGGAAAAAAAAAAAAAAAAGATCAAGAATTCTTTTTTTCTTTGAGTGGGGCAAGGAGAGGAATGGATTAATACTGAAGCATTCAAATAATTGGAAAAAACATGCATCAAATTAGAAGAACATATATACTCAGATCCTCTTCATTATTTGTCATAATGAAAATGATTCAAAATTTTAAACTTTATGAGTTCGACCTTTAAGTTTTCTTATCAATAAACTAATTGGGGTTCATACTTCATACCTATTATTTATTGTAATAGTAATTAATTACACATCAATTTACGTCATAAGTTATGGGTTCTCACAAGACTAGATGTGCCTCTGATGTAAAGTTCGAGGAGGGTTAAACGGAGCATATTTTTAAAGGTAATATCAATACGAAGTTGAAAATAAGCATTTTTAAATTTTAATAAGTTTGGCCGAATAAGCTACCACAGCTCAAATTAGGGAGCTTTTTGTAATTTGTGGAGTCGGCTCTCACAAGTTGAGGAAGTTTGTGAATCCCGCAAAAAATATTATTAACGTAAATAAGATAATAAAGTTTAGTGCTATCGAAAGAGTAGTAATTAAGAACAAAAATTATTGAGGAAATAAAAAATAAAGGGACCTCTATCTCTCTCCCTATCATGATACTTTTGGCTATGTGTATAGTGTGACTAATTATGTGTAATATATTCTTTCGGATAGAATTGAAGGGAAAAAAGAAAGAAAAAAAAGATTCTCAAAGGCCTACGAAGACTTGGTCCTAACCATTTGATGCCAACTAATCGGCCATGATACTTGAATTATGTCTTAAAATTGTAGTTACTTGCTTTTGTTTTCTTATATATTTTATATTTTATAAATATGAATTAATTTATACATACATGATGATTTGGCAGCAAGATGTTAACAAAGAATATGTGTATTCACTTGCTTATGTGTATTCAATCTCAAATTTGTTGAAGTCAGTTTTATGAATCATAATTTGTGTCATTAGGCAAATTAGTAAACTCTATGACCTTTTTGATACAGATGGAAACATATAAGACCTAACTGTAAAAGGAAATGCGACTATCTTTTCGTATATAGTTTGTTAGGAAATTAACTCATAGCAAAAAGAATCGACCAAGTCATATGCCTTCATCTTACATTATTGTTTCTATCTATAACTTAGGGTAAAAACTTACCCATCTCAAGTATTAAGACCGAACCAATAGAAGTATGACATGTCACTACGAATATACTTCTTTTACGAAACCATGGTTAATAATAGCATATTTTCATCTTTTGAACCACTTCACCATGTTAAGTTACATGTTAAGTTAATATGGTTTGGTGTACACATGATACATGTAAATTTTTACCATGTATAGGGAATCCGTGGATATTCATTAACTGGGTAATTAATTAGAGCAACATTGCTATAGCAGCTTGTAGGCTTATATAATATTGTTGATTGCAAGTAACCGTCCATAACAGGTGGAACTCGTAACTTAAGAAAATAAGACAAAAGTAATTTGCTATAGCAAATTAAATTACACGGTAGTGTAAAAATTTCATTACCCTATCAATTGATATAAGTCAAATCCTCCAATACAACCAAATTGAATCAAGATCACCCATGATTCCAAAAACACTAGCTGTACATGTATGCCAAAAGTTGAACCAAAATCACAGACAAGCAGTTTGTTGGCTAAAATGGAGTGTACAATTAAGATAGGTTAGACAGAAGCCTAATCTCGTAAACAATAGGTAGAAATCATGTCGAGCAGGAAATGTTGAGCACCAAGTATTGGTATGTCCTATATTGGTCAAGAGAATGAATTATCTCCTTATATGTCTTGGACAATCCTCACCTCATGAGTTAGCTTTCGAGATTGAGTTAGGTCCAAGATCCATTTTCTTAATATGGCAGATGTCACACCTCAACTTGTTTGGGACTGAAAGCAAATGTTGTTACCCAATGTTGGGCGCCGCCATGTAATACTATTTTCGCTCCAGATGTCCAGCCCTGAGCATGCGCGGGGTGCAGGATAATGAATTAATATATTCCACATTCTGTTATGATCTTGGCCAATCCGTACATCATAAGCTAGTTTTTGGGGCTCTTTAACAAGAACCAAAATACTGGTTTCTAGACAAGTAGAATGTCTCAAGAAAGCACCTGGCTTTAAATGGAGCCCTTTTTTGTCATTGTGAAGCTGGGCGGTGAGTTACATTAGTAGGAAACAAACTTGATCGATTATTCAGTGCTTAAGCAGCAATCATCAAGCTTTAAGTGGAGCACCTTTTTGTCATCGTGACGCTTGAATGTTGAGCACATTAGTTGAAAGCGACTTGATTCATATGTAGTCCTTCCAAAACAATCTCTTCCAGTATTGCACGGAGTATCTCCCTCGGTTCAACTTTTTTGGTGATACCAAGGGGAACTCCATTCCTTTTCCAAGGGAGACATTGAGCCTTTCTTTGGTTTGGGGGGGGAGGGCAAATGCTCGATTTCCTCGTGATCTTGATTCTTCCATCATCCATGCTCGGATAATTCGCAGGAAACTTCTTGCCAATATTTGATGCTCCGATAATGAGGAGTTCTATACTCCCACAGATAGAGCATGTGAGATATAATGTAATAGGCTTATATTGGTATTTCTTCCAAGACTCTAATGCAGTGCACGTAGTCATCCCTGCAACCAACAAATATTTCCCCACCAATCATCACAGGAGAGGAGAAGATATCTCCTCCAAGTTCATACCTAACAAATTCCCGCACCACATTACATGGTTGATTTGCTCCGTCGGAATTCAAGCTGACTTGAAGAACACGTACACTTCCAGAACTGGAGCAAACACAGATCAACCTGGCACTGACATATACACGAGTTGAATTTCTTATTGACTTCTCATAGAATAATTCATTGCATGAGCAAACTACACTAATCACCTTTGAGACAGAGAAGAATCAGGGTATGCCAATAGCAAGTGCTCATCAACATAGGCAGATGAAGTGATTGGATGTCCAATATCATGCTTCCAGAATAAATCACCATTTTCCTAATAAAACATGAAACCACACCCCATTAGCATGATCAAAGATTTCATGCAGAGATGTCAGCCTAGCATCTCTAACAATAGTTTAGCTCAAATGGAACAACTTGAAAGATATGCATCACCAATCCATAACAGGAAGATAGAGCAACAATGATCTTCAGAGACAACTGTGTCTCAATTCTAAGCTAGTTGGGTCGGGTATATGAATCCTCACGGAATACGCTCCATTTAAGCTCACCTTAGACAACCATATTATACATAAATATATCATTATTACTATTATTATGAATTTACATTTACACTTAATAATAATTAACTTGCAGACTTTTTTTTCAGCATCAAGAGAAACAAGAAAATGAGGCATCTTAATTTCCATGAGCTCTTTGAATGCCAAGAATGAACGGGATGATGTCTGTGCCTCAACTGCTTCCATGAGTTAACCTATCAGAATTGAGAACAAGCAGGAAGCTAATAATTTTGCCTTAATTCGTTGCCATTCATTTTCTCTTTACTCTGAGAACTAATTTTACTTCCTCTATTGTCAATCTTACTATGAGGGATTCTTCTGCCCTATTTTCCTATATTCTTCTGCTCTATTTTCCTATATCCTTTTTTATTTTGATAATACATCAAACAACAAAACATGTGAATTACTTAGGTTCACGGAGCAAGACTGTTAATTTAAACGCATAAACTTTTAGATGAGATGGTCACGATTTAACAAAAACTTGTAGGAAAGCTAATATACCTGACACAAATGACCTGCTATTGCATTTGCTGCAAGTCTAGTAAGTCAAATCATTCATTCCCCTCACAAAGAGCATCTCAAAGCTGTCTATCACATTTTAAGACATGTAAAGAGCTCTGTGGGGAAAGGACTATCTTTTTAGGGGGAAAAAAGGCAATGGACCATTAATGCCTGCACAAATCCAGACTGGGCAGGATCAACTGTCAAAAAAAGGCTGACATCAGGGCACTGAAGATTTGCACGAGGCAGTCAAGTAACATGGAGAAGCAAGAAACAAAGTGTGGTGGCCCGCAGTTGCACAAGATGGTTGAAGGGGGTTGTGACATGAGATGGCTCAAACAAGTCTTGGAATAACTAAGTATACTTTTGAGATTACTTATGAAGTTGTACGATGACAATAAGACCATTAGTATCACACACACTGCGGTTCAACATGACAATGTTAAGCATATCGAGACTGGCAGAATTTAATAAAAGAGAGTTGAATTTGCATATGTTTGTATGTCGTTTGTTCCAACGTCACAACAAATAGCAGATATTCTCACAAAGGCGCAGTTTCGGCTTAACTAAGAGAATCTTATTCAGCAAGTTGGACGTGATAAATATCAATATCAACGTGACGAGGTGTGTTGAACTAGGAATTAATGGCTAGAAACTATCACTAGATTTTGACAAATAAAATAGATCCGTGCACCCAAGGGTGTGGCCCAGTGGTCAATACAGTGGGAGGAGAGCCATAAGGTCTCAGGTTCAAATCCCAGTGGAGGCAAAAAACACCATTTCTTCTCATTTGCCTAAGCCTTGGTGGGCAAAGTTACCCAATACTTGTGCTGGTGGGAGGTACTCGGTGGAATAATCGAAGTGCGCACAAGCTGGCCTGGACACCACTGTCATTAAAACAAATATAGATTCATTATCTTGTAGGTTTAAACATTGTAAGTTTAAACAGCATAATAGAGAGATCTCTTGAGGTAAGCTATGTTGCTCATATCCTTCAAAATTCTTGTCGCACCGGTATCAATTTGATGCGATTTGGGTGTTGGTGTGGGATTTGTACTGGATTTGGTCAACCTAACTTGGGTGCTTAAACTACACCTATATGGAGGTGATTTGGAAAAGGAGAACCTAGCTTAATGAGGAAAAGATACAGAGAATAAGAAACTTGTTCCGACAAAAACGCCAAAATTTGGTCTTCAAGCTCCTTAAGGAGAAAACGCCATCAGCATAGTATGCTCTTTATATGCCATAATCATAAGCTGCACAAGAACAACTGAAGTTCAAGATCTTTACCAAATCAAAGGAGTAAACACTGCCATCTCTTGAACAAACAAGCACCTGTAGAGATTTAAAAAGGAGAACATTCATTCTCGCGAACGTCTAGATTTTGAGATACTACTAACTGAAAAATAAGAAAGGTTTTCGGCATGTAAAGAAAGGAAAACTAAAATAGTAGAAATAAACTTGTGAAAGGCCTAAATAGGCCAATATCTTATTCATATGATGAAACTTTTAGGGTGACCACATGGTGATTGAGAAGTAGTGAGGTCTTCTCACCAACTAAATACATAAATGGACATAAAACTGAAAGAAATGATAAATTAATGCCAAAAAATAGAAGTGGGTCAAAAAGTGTGAAGCGACATTGAGAAATTGAGTTATAGTTCCTAAACTAAGGCCTTCACTTAATGGCAGGCATCCTACTAATTCGAAGCAAAACACTGGGCAGGATGTTTTTAGATGTGATATTTGGTCTTTAAGAGTATTGCTCCATCCTCACCCTCACAAAGGAAAGGATACCATATGACCCCTCAGGCTCTACAAACATCACGACTTTCATGCTTGTTTCCCTTACCCACAAGGTTAGTATATACTCAAGATGAAAAGTTTAGACAGTGTGATCAGACCAACATGTGTCTAAGTTTCCTTGTGGATGGTTCTCTTAACATAGTATTAATGTAGTTGTATCAGATTTATAACTATGAAGATATTATAGGGAGAAAAAATCACCTGTGAAGTTAGTGCACGAGATATGCAGGGCCCAGCAAATATTGGGCCAGCTGTACTCACCTATTCCACAAGCAATACATAAATTAATTAAATAAATGATGAAAATTGAAAAAAGTACATCTCACAGGAATAGACGGAAATGCATCAACTAAAGATCATATGTCCTATATCATTTTGTATTGATCATATTTATACAATCAAGCCGCATATGCATTCATGCTCCAGTAAATTGTTTTGGGCCAAGTGTCTTACAGCCACACCATCCTATTTACAGATGCTCACATCCCAACCATGATAATGGGAAAATGGTCTCATCTCAGCGCTAAAGGGTTGGCTTACAGATCGTGTAAGAGGGTAAGGTAATTTCAGGATAATTACCCTTGAAAGGGGGGAAGGTTTCATAGGTAAGGAATCACAAGGATTTTGATGAAGTAAAATATATCCACTGATTGATGAGATAAAATTGGAAGGCACAACTTGACTTTCAATAAGATGAAATGAGTAAACATAATACATCAAGTTCATTCCAGTAGGTGAGAAGCAGATGATCTGAAAGAGGTGCTTGAGAATAGGTGCAGATTGAACTGAGCAGTAGGAAACATAATATTGAGTTAGCTCAAACTTATCCTAATGCGATAATAACATCAGACTTAAGCTTTGATACAGAACAAATAAACGGATGGCTCCAAGAAGCTAAAAGAGTTCACAAAGTGTTGGTACAATTTTTTGCCAAGGAAAACTTAAAATTGGTTACTAGCTTAAATTCATACTACAAAAGAGAGTTTTCTTTTGGTTAATCTACAAGGTACAGAAGATTTTCGTGAAAGACACATTATTATGCAGAATTCTGTAATCTAACAGAAAATACACAAATTTGCTCCGTTTAGGTGAATCTAAATGTGAATATTCGTCCAGTTCTGTTTAAGTCCTGCAGAAAACTGGTTCTTCTATTTGGAGTTGCCTATTTCGTGCAGCTTTTAACAAGTTCAGTTTCACCACAAAAAAACGACCCTCCTTATATCCAAGTAACAAGACGGAATGCGTGGAGTTCAAGGAAATTAATGTTGTTCTACCTTCCAGATGACAGATCCCTCAGCGCCCAGCGAAACAACACTTCCATCCACCATGCAACATATAACTGCAACACCACAAGCTAAGTTATGTAATTGACATCTGAAACACACCCATAACAGCATGTACTACCAATCATCCAAAATTTAGACAACAATGCATAACATCATAAAAATAAATTTATAACAAATATGAATAAACTTGTTCAATCAATAACTTTAGCACAATCTTTGTAGCCCTAGACCTTTACACACTTCTCTGGATGCCTTTATAGACCCCTACCAACCAAAATGTTAATCAGCCAATTCTGCTTAATATCTACTCCGGACAAATAGATAGTAAGCAAGGATAAATTGATAATGACACAAAACAATTACCATTTCCAGATGAAGGGTTGATTGAAAGTGACGCAAAAATAGGAACTCCCAACTCTTGTACCCATATTTGATCAAATGGAAGAGCCTGCAGAGAGAGAATTGCTTAACAGGCTTACAAAGAAGCAAATATTAACAATATTACACAAGTATAGAAGGTAATGGTTGGACGCAGCGAACAAAGTAAACTTATGCTCACACTGTGGAGCAATGCATATCATGCCATCCCACTCCCAGAGTGGAGGGGTTGGCAAAGAAAAGAAGACCAAGGATGGTAAGAAGAGCCTTAGGCTAGAGAGATATTCTATCTCAAATTCTATAATGTACTGGCCTTGTATAACATAGAGATAAAGAGGCAAATGATAAAGGTATCATATATATATATATATATATATATATATATATATATATATATATAAAAGAATATCTTTTAGCAAACAACCTAGCTTTAAGGCGGCCAATATTCTAATCTGGTGCTCTATGTTTTTTTTAATAAATTAATAAAATTTTACTCATGATGGCAAAAAACACCTGTATACAAAAAGTATACCAAAAAGTAGAAAATCTTATCAAAAATATGGTTTCCTACAAATGATACCCAATCTTCTATATTTATAGGAACCTCTGGTACTACTTTAATGGTGTGGTTCACACAATGGAGACGATGTTTCTGCCAAGGTCTTATGATCTTACCTCACATCTTAAAATGAGACCAAATCATATCATACATAACAGATCTACCAAAAATGCAGCCAGTAAAATAAAACCTAGTTTCTTTCTACAGCTCAGATTATCTGCTTTCACGTGTCATATACTCTCTTATAGTTTAACCATAAAAGCGAGTAACTATTAAGTAACATATAAGGCCATATGACCAAGCGTATGGAGCTAACATAAACCATAGATGATAGTATGAAACTTTTGGACACCGAAAAATGTTGCTATTACTTTTATCTAACAGAAGATGAGATCTCTCTAATACTCAACAGGAAATAAAATTTAATGGCCGAAACAATTTGCCCTATAAATCTGCAAAATGTGCAAATTGGCATGAGGTACGAGTTGTGAGATGAAGATGGCCCCGGATTACTTTTCTTCCACTTGGTCGATCAGTACCTATATTTCATAGGAAAAATAAGAGAAACATATTTAAAAGAAATATAAATACATCTCCTCACCCCGACAAATAGAGCTGTTACTCTGCCACTAGTGGATGCCACATAGAGCTTTTCATGCACCTACAAAGTTTTTTAAAGAAAAGGTCAAGAACATAAGAAGAGCAAGGTTGCTTAAAGAAGGCAGAAGATCGCTGTTAAGTGCTGAGACGTTGCAAAGTGGTAAGGATAATTGTTCCAAAACAGTCTGGTATACAGGAAAAGCATATAATAACGTGCAATATAAGGTAATCTGACCAAACATCTACTGACAATCGCTTCATCGGTGTGCAATTCTGTTGGGATAAAAGGCATAAGATGTGATGAGGGCATAAAAGCAAATCATTCTCGTGGATCCGAGGAAGGTTTTGCTAATTAGCCCTTTAAGAAAGGTACAGCCACAAGTTAACATGTTATGCAAAATGCCAGAAAATTCCAAAAGAAGGGGTCTATCTACAAAGAAGGACATTCAGATCCACCTCATCAAGTGCAGGTGCACCAAATATGCTACCACCACATCGGATTTTGTAAACACAACAGTGATTCTTATAATCAAGGGCATAGAGATTATGGTCGTGCGATCCACACCTGCAGTCAATTATACCAAGACAAAAGAATGAGTAATATAGTTGCAGTAAAAGAATGCTAATTGTATCAAGATGGCAAGAAAACTTGGGGAACCCATCAACAAAAAACCATTAGAGCACATGTATCTATTTATTCTCATCTGTAGATCATGCCAAATTTCTTCATTTTCTCTTAGATTCTTAGTTCTAGACTAATAAGTTATTGGTAAATCTAGGACGTTTAAAGGCACTTGGACTATTGAAAGACTTCTGTACGTAGCAACATGAGCTCTCCATAACTCTAGGAGTCAACTAACACTTGGACAGTTGAGAGACTTGATCCAAAAAGCACCATGGCCTCTCAGTAATTCTAAGAAGTCAACACAGCATACATGGGCGGGCATAGAAACAATGGAACTTAGCTGTTCTGCTCCCTCAGCTTTTCTGGCACAGGTAGCAGCACCCAGCTGCTAATGCAACAAAATGAATTTAGAGAATGAGATCATTTGGACATTGTAAGAACACTTATAACATGAGGCGTTTCATGTGAGGTAGAATCAAATGAAATCTCCAGAAAATGTAAGGACATTAAGAAGGAAAAACAACATAACGCCCATTCCTTTTCTGTATTTACTGGGATTTTGCCTTCCCCAGCCCCCTCTCCAAAGTTGAAAAAAGGGGCATATATGCACTGATATGCCACGAGCATAGAAGAAATAGACAAGCTTCAGATATAGAAAAAGTTTGCAAGTTTTATCAGCCAGGATAAAGAAGAAGAAAAATTACCAGACCAAGTGCCTCTCTTTGTCAACGATTGGCTGCGATTTTACCTTAAAATTTCAGAAGTGAGCACAAAATAAATGTCAAACAAAAGTCAACAAAAAAAGTTTCAGTAAACAGGAAAGAAAGCTAATTTCCTACAGACTATTATGATTACCATCAACTACCTTTTTTTAATTTTTGAGAATGGTAACATATTATTTAATCGTAGCACAAAGGCTGTGCTAAGGCCATATATACATATATCAAAAAGAGCAAAAACCACGGCTATCTTCTATCTCCTACTACAGGATCCTATGATATCTATCATTGAATCTACATCCTCTACAAAATCTTCCTTACACCAAAAGTGAAACAAAAATAAGCAGTTCATCTTGATCTTCTGTAAGGAGTTGTTCTGTCCTTCAAAACATCTACTGTTTCTTTCCATCCAAATGGTCCACCATATACATCCCGGGATGGTCTTCCACCACTTTTTTTGTTTGATTCAGGTTCTCCAGAGAAATTCCAGCAAGCAAGTAGCTCCCCTGTTACTCC